CACCTGAATATGTTTGCCCAGAAAAACCTCCGGGGTTCCTCCCAACCAACATGGCATGCTATGATTCTCCCTGAACCCCTGCCCTGCCCTTCTGCTCCTGCTGAACACATGGACCAAGACACAGAGGCCTCTGAAGGCTTCTGGAAGCTTCCAACCCCATCTGGGGTGCTCCCAGGACACAGCTCTGAGCCCGTCCTTAGGGACGGCGGCCAGGTTTCTGTCCCTCACAAGGACAATGACAGCAGGGCACCAGGACACCCACTCCTCCGAATCGGCAAAAGGAAGACATAACCACAGGATCTACTGACAGAGAGACAAAGAAGCAGAATGTGTGGACGCTGCCTGTGGAATACTATTTAGCCCTGAAAGGGGAAGGGAATTCTGATAAATGCTGCAGCCTGGGTGTGCCCTGAGGAGACCACGCCAGGTGAACGGAGCCACACACACAGACAAAGCCGGCAGCACAGTGAACAGGAGCAGAGGTGCTTGCTGGGATGGGGAGGGTGGCCAGACTGCGGCTGGGACGGGGAGGGTGCTGGAGTGGGTATCCAGCCTCACCTCGGCCCCACCCGCCCGCCCTCCCAGACCAGACACTCACACCCCAGGACCAGACCCAAGCGCGGACCAGGCAGACGCCCTGGCTCAGCCCTCCCTGCTCCCCCCATGCGTCCACCCCGCCCCTAGACAATGCAGCACCCTCCGGACCCCCTACCCACCCCCCAGACGGCGAGCCAGGCGCCCCCACTCCACAGGGTCTCCTAATAACCCCGCACTGGTGCGGCCCGGCCCCTAGACAATGCAGCACCCTCCGGACCCCCTACCCACCCCCCAGACGGCAAGCCAGGCGCCCCCACTCCACAGGGTCTCCTAATGAACCCGCGCTGGTGCGGCCCGGCCCCTAGACAATGCAGCACCCTCCGGACCCCCTACCCACCCCCCAGACGGCGAGCCAGGCGCCCCCACTCCACAGGGTCTCCTAATAACCCCGCACTGGTGCGGCGCGGCCTCCTCTCTCGCCTCCTTCTCCTTTCTTAGCCTAACAGATGGCAGCCACGGCTGTGAACAAAATCTGGCTTTATCCCCGCGCGGCGGCCTTTAAAATGGCGAACATGCATGGCTACATAGATTTGCCCAGAATATGAAGAAAGCAGGGGCTGCCCTCACCACCTTCCCGCAGAGGCCGGGCCTGCCCCAGGGCACTGCGGCCGCCCTCACCGCCTTCCCGCAGAGGCCGGGCCTGCCCCAGGGCACTGCGGCCGGCCTCCACTGCCAGTCCTCCTGCCTCGGCCCCCCGGGAGCCAGGATGGCAGGAGTACCCCTGAAACACCCTGGACACCAGGCCCACTGTGCAGGACTGAGGACCAGCCCCCCAGCCCCCTCAAACCCACCAGGCTGAATGGGAGAAACACCCTCGGGAGAGAGGAGGAGGAGGAAGGAAGAAGGGAAAGGAGGAGAGAAAGGAGAGAAAGAGGAATGAGAGAAGGGGCAGGAGGAGGGAAGGAGAAGAGGAAAGTGGGGGGCAGGGGAGAGGGGAGCAGGAGCAGGTGGGAGACAATGTCCCCCACTCGGTCACAATGTGACCGTTGGCATCCTTCCAGCCTGTGCTCTGCTTGAGCATCTGCTGTGTGCGGGGAGAGGGAGGGCCAGGCTGGCCTCAGCCCCCCATGGAGGGGTGGCAGGGCCCATACCCTTGCTGTCGGGAAGCCCCCAGGATGCTCTGCGCCCCACCCAGCGCGCCTCCCCAGCCCCCGCGGCCCAGACCCGAGTGAGCAGAGATCCCTGCACCCAGCCGCTGGCCTGGCACCACAGTGGCCTCCACTGCTCTGTGCCTCAGTTTCCCAATGTAGCAGAACCTGGGTTCTGCCAGGGCCTGCTCCTTCCCGCCAAGGACAAGGGGAGATTTAAAGGACCAGACAGACAGACAGACAGACACACACACACACACATACACACACACACACATACACATACACACGTACACACATATACATACACACACACGTACACACATACACATACACATATACACACATGTAAACATACACATACACACATGTGCACATATATACACATACGCACATACACACATACACATGTACACATACACATGTACACATACACATGTACACACATACATACACATACACATACACACGTACACATACACACATACACACATATACACATATACATACATACACACATATACACACATACACACATATACACATATACACACATACACACACACACATATACACATACACACACATACACACATATACACACATACACACATATACACATACACGCATACACATACACGCATACACATACACGCATACACACACATATACACATACACACACATACACACATATACACACACACATACACACATATACACACATACACATACACACACATATACACATACACACATACACAAATGTGCACATATACACACATACACACACATACACATACACTCACATACACACATATACACATACACACATGTGCACATATACACACATACACACATACACATACACATACACTCACATACACATACACACATATACACACATACACATACACTCACATACACACATACACGCATACACACATGTGCACATATACACACACACACACACACACACAGCCCCTCCTGACGGGGGCGGGCGGCACGAGGCGGGGAGGGAGGGCTCAGCACCCAGCACCACCCCTCCCCCTCTCTGATTCTTTTTCATCTTTCCCTTTGTACGGCCTCAAGTCTGTCTGTCTTTATTCCCAGGCTCTTTGAAAAACTAAAGAATGAAAGGCTTTGAGGCCGCTTTGTGTCTCCTTTGACGTTATCAGGGAAACAGGAGGGAGCTGAGCAGGGAAGAAAACAAAGGCCCATCGCTTCTGGATCGTGATGGGCAGGGGGCGGACCGGCGCTGTGCCCCAGCTCCTGCAAAGAGGGGGCGCAGCGTGGACACGCACCTGACACGTCACCAAGAACCAAGATCACAGGAAGATCAAAGAGAAGACCAGAGACACCAGAGCCGGCAGGCCCAACCTCAAACACCTGGGCTTCAACCCCCCAGGGCCCGAGGCCCTAACTCCATCCAGGGCACAGGGGCCCTAACTCCATCCAGGGCACAGGGCCCTAACTCCATCCAGGGCACAGGGCCCTAACTCCATCCAGGGCACAGGGCCCTAACTCCATCCAGGGCACAGGGGCCTAACTCCATCCAGGGCACAGGGCCCTAACTCCATCCAGGGCACAGGGGCCTAACTCCATCCAGGGCACAGGGGCCCTAACTCCATCCAGGGCACAGGGCCCTAACTCCATCCAGGGCACAGGGCCCTAACTCCATCCAGGGCACAGGGCCCTAACTCCATCCAGGGCACAGGGCCCTAACTCCATCCAGGGCACAGGGCCCTAACTCCATCCAGGGCACAGGGCCCTAACTCCATCCAGGGCACAGGGGCCTAACTCCATCCAGGGCACAGGGGCCCTAACTCCATCCAGGGCACAGGGCCCTAACTCCATCCAGGGCACAGGGCCCTAACTCCATCCAGGGCACAGGGCCCTAACTCCATCCAGGGCACAGGGCCCTAACTCCATCCAGGGCACAGGGGCCTAACTCCATCCAGGGCACAGGGGCCCTAACTCCATCCAGGGCACAGGGCCCTAACTCCATCCAGGGCACAGGGCCCTAACTCCATCCAGGGCACAGGGCCCTAACTCCATCCAGGGCACAGGGGCCCTAACTCCATCCAGGGCACAGGGCCCTAACTCCATCCAGGGCACAGGGCCCTAACTCTATCAAGGGCACAGGGGCCCTAACTCTATCAAGGGCACAGGGGCCCTAACTCCATCCAGGGCACAGGGCCCTAACTCCATCCAGGGCCCGAGGCCCTAACTCCATCCAGGGCACAGGGGCCCTAACTCCATCCAGGGCACAGGGGCCCTAACTCCATCCAGGGCACAGGGCCCTAACTCCATCCAGGGCCCGAGGCCCTAACTCCATCCAGGGCACAGGGGCCCTAACTCCATCCAGGGCACAGGGGCCTAACTCCATCCAGGGCACAGGGCCCTAACTCCATCCAGGGCCCGAGGCCCTAACTCCATCCAGGGCACAGGGGCCTAACTCCATCCAGGGCCCGAGGCCCTAACTCCATCCAGGGCACAGGGGCCTAACTCCATCCAGGGCACAGGGCCCTAACTCCATCCAGGGCACAGGGCCCTAACTCCATCCAGGGCA